TAGGTTTTTTTGCTTTTCCAAAACTCGAGCTAACTTGTCTGTTACTCGATATATGGTATTTTAATTGTTTTAATAACCTGTTCGCTTTCAGAAGTATTGCTGTTCGATCTTAGTTTGGCATGCAATGCTCTGTTCATTTGAACATTATTGTAGCCATTCAATCATAGTGCTTCTTTAAGATCTTTAATCTCTCTCCACCATCTGACACTGTTTTAATCCGATGTATAAGCGTCTTGATGAGAGAGCATTTCTGTGCGGGGTGATGATGATAATCTGTATTCAGATAGGCATCAGTGTGCATTCCCTTTCAGTAGACGCTGTGTTATTTTACCATTTAGGCCGCGTCCGAGCAAAATATCCAGAAAAGGGAGTGTGTTATTCACCTCCATTTCCATGGTGAACTGGATGGCTGGGTTTTGTGAATCTTTCCCATGTGGCCAGACAAACAAATTGTCATCTACATATCTAAACCAAAAAGATGGTTTTAATGTACTTTAAGCAAGTACTCTTGCTTCATAGTTTTCTCTGTACAGAAATCACCTCTCCATACAAAAATAAGTGTTATTTAGACAATGGCCAGCTAGTTTTGGAATATTTTTTTGTAAACCTGTCTTATGTACTAGCGTATTGAGTAATTTAAGTGACTCGTTAACTGGAACCTTAGTAAATAGATAAATTACATCAAAGCTCACCAGAATGTCATAAGGGTTAAGTTTAATATATTTAATCACATTCACAAGATGTTCTGAATTTCTTATGAATGAAGATGTCCCCCTACCCCGCCTCTGATTTTTGCACCTGATGGTTTCAGTAATGACGAAATCCTGCTCTATTTAAGACTGGAAGCAGGTGGATGGCTTCACTATTCTGGCTAATCGTCCGATGATGCTGGATGTAATTACAGCGAAACGTCGTATTCAAATTGTAAATGTTGTGGATTTACTCTTCAACACACCGGTGGGGTGATGCAGTAACTAATTGGCGCGTTGTTTACGTGATAAAACCTTACAGGCTGTGTCGGGTGGTAGAGGGTTACAACGCATTTATACTTACGCGATCTAACCCAAAACCTTTATTATGAATGTGTGAGTGAGTGTGTGTAAGTAGGTTAGATTGAGTGTGTGAGAGGGTGGGTGGATGAGTGGGTGGGTGAGTGTGAATGAGTGTGTGGATGGGGGAGTGTGTGAGTGTATGAGTGGGTATGTGTGAGTGGATGAGTGCGTGAGTATGTAGGTGGGTGAGTGTGTATGAGTGGGTATGTGTGAGTGAGTGTGCGTGAGTGGGTTAGAGTGAGTGTGTGTGAGTGGGTGGATGAGTGTTTGGGTGGATGAGTAATTTGGTGAGTAGATGAGTGAGTGGGTGAGTGTGCGTCAGTGGATTCGTGTAAGCGAGCGAGTGTGTGAGTGATTGGTTGAGTGGGTGAGTGTGTGTGAGAGGTGGGAGTATAGCGGTTAGCGCGTTGTGCTACTAACCCGTGTAACCGAGTTCGATTCCCGCCACGGCCAAAACCAGTGACGAATTATCTGAACTAGTCCTGGGCCTCCCCTAGGTCAACTCAGCCTCAAATGGGTACCTGGTGCGGTATATAAATATCGCTACTGGGGAGACAAAGGCGGCCGGTTGTGGTGCTGGATACCCACAAGCCGTGCAGCCTTCATTGGTGCTCGCTAACAGCGCTTCCCCCAAAAGTCTGGGAGGGATTTTTGTCTTGTATGAGTATGTGGATGAGAGTGTGGGTGAGTGTGTGGATGAGAGTGTGGGTAAGTGTGGGTGAGTGTATGAGTGGGTTCGTGTGAGTGAGTGTGTGAGTGAGCTGGTGTGCGTGAGTGAGTGAGTAAATGTGTGGGTGTGTGTAAGTGAGCTGGTGAGTCTAAGTGAGTGTGGATGTGTGAGTCGGTGAGTATGAGTGAATGGGTGTGTGTGAGTTTCAGGAAAGGGTGGTCCTGCACAGATGCCATATTTTCTGTCCGTCTGCTACAGCAGAGGTGTAGGGAATTCCAGCAAGACCTACATCTCTGCTTTATTGACCTGGTCAAGGCCTATGATATCATCAGTAGGCCTGGGCTATGGGTTGTTCTTCGTGCTTTTGGAGTGCCTGACCCTCTGCTCAAGATCATTAAGGACCTTCATAATGGTGAGCGGGCCCGGGTAAAACTACGTGGCCGGGAGTCAGAGCCATTCCCTGTACACCTTGGGGTGCGACAGGGATGTCCTCTGGCTCCCACATTATTTAACATCTATTTTGACCACGTAGTTCGTGAAGCCTTCAATAGCTGTACCGGGGGAATCTCCATTTGGTACAGATATAATGGGAGGCTGATCGATGCCCTGGTGCGTTCAAGGGATGGCTCCCTATTGCTCAACCACGTTATGTATGCCGATGATTTGGTAATAGCTGCTCATTCAGAGGAGGAGTTGGAGACGCTGCTGCTGAGACTGGAGCGTGCCACTAAGAGATGTGGCCTTACCATCAGCCCCACCAAAGCTAAGCACCTGCCTGGGTATTTTTTACCATTGGACACTCCACCCCCACAACTCCCAATCGTTGATGGGGCAGTTGTGGAGAGAGTGGAGAGTTTCCCATACGTGGGCAGTGTGCTTATGACCGGCTCCAGTTTAACAGCAGAGGTTTCACTCCGAATCAGTCGAGCGGCAATATCTTTTCATCGGTTGCGTAACGCTGTGTGGAAGCTACCTGGCCTGTCACTCCGCACTAGCTTCAGGTCTTCTCGGCCACGGTCATTCGCTCCCTTCTCTACGCTTGCAAAACGTGGATCCCCCTAATGGAACATCTTTGCCGGTTAGAAACATTTAGGATAGCCTGCAGTTGTGGAGAGAGTGGAGAGTTTCCCATACCTGGGCAGTGTGCTTATGACCGGCTCCAGTTTAACAGCAGAGGTTTCACTCCGAATCAGTCGAGCGGCAATATCTTTTCATCGGTTGCGTAACGCTGTGTGGAAGCTACCTGGACTGTCACTCCGCACTAGCTTCAGGTCTTCTCGGCCACGGTCATTCGCTCCCTTCTCTACGCTTGCAAAACGTGGATCCCCCTAATGGAACATCTTCGCCGGTTAGAAACATTTAGGATAGCCTGCCTACGATCCAACCTGGGTTTAACCAGGCTCGATTGTGTGAGGAGCTCACAAATCCTTGAAAGATCTGGGCAAGGTCCCATCGGTGAGCTCCTCCGGCAGGCAAGGCTGCGTTGGCTGGGTCATGTACCCCGCATGGCCAGTCACCGCATGCCGAAGCAGCTTTTGTTCGGCCGGATCGAGGGGGCTAAACGGGCGCGCACGGGCTAGAGAAAAGATAAAGTGATGTGGTACAGGAGGACGTGGAGATGAGTGGACTTGCGATTACTGATACCAGCGGTGTCAAGATCGGCTTCTGTGGAGGAGGCTCGTGAAGGATGCTACTGGGCAGTTGGAGGCAGTCGCCCTCCAACAACAACGGAGAACAGAGAAGCGACGCTCACAACAACGAGCGGAGCGCCGGGTGGCTAAAGCACAGCAGGTTGGCACAGTAGGGGGCACAGGTGGTGCATCAGCCAGTCATCTCAGTCATCTTAGTCAGTTGACCCGTGGCACTTGGGTCTGCCCCCGTGACCTCCTGCCAGCGGGCGTTCGACACTTCACGTGGCCTCAAGGTGCACATGGCCTGGCACAAGCGTCGTGGTGACGTCACCGCCACTTAGTGGCGAATGGCAGTTGTTGTGTGTGAGTGAGCTAGTGTGTGTAAGTGAGTGTGTGAGTCAGTGTGTGTATGTGAGCTGGTGAGAGTGTGAGTGAGTGTGTGGAGCTGGTAAGTGTGGGTGAGTGTGTGAGTGAACTGGTGAGTGAGTGTGTGAGTGAGTGTGTGAGTGAACTGGTGAGTGAGTGTGTGAGTGAGTGTGTGTAGAGCTGGTGGGGAGCGGTAACGTAATGGTTAGTGCACTGATCTACGAACCTGGCGACCCGAGTCTGTGCCGAGTTGCTGTTCCGATAGCAATGCAATCAGCGGGGCGGAGGGGGAGAGAGCCTCGTACGGGACGCGGAGTTCGGAACACACACGGAGAAATTCTCCTGAACCCCCCCTCCCAACTTGGACTCCTCGCCCCTTGTAGCCCCACCCCCCCATGTACTCCCTCTCCCCTAACCCCCCCCCCCCCCACTTGTACTCCCTCTCCCATACATTCCTCACAGCAGCGGCTTTTGGCTAACCATCGAACAAAGGCGGTCTACACATTGCATGCTTTAAGATGCACTTCTGCGGCCGTCTGGAACGCTCCTCCTTCCGATATTAGGAAGCCGCTGGAGCTCTGCACCTTTACATAATCTAGATTGACAAACACATTCCTATAGAACCGCATTATGTGTTTAGTTTGTTGTCCTTCCCCCGCTCCTCCGCCGATTAGCACGGTTGACTTAGTACGGTGCCAAAGAAGTTCAACATACGTACATCAGGTTGATGCACTGTTGAGTACAGTAAATAATACTAATATTGTAATGAAAAATATATTTTACTGCTAATACCTAAGCATTAACACTTTACGGAACGCCTCCCCATGTAGTGTTGGCTATGTACGGTGAGAAAGAAGTTTAACATACAGACATACTAGTATACACTCCACTACTATACGACACGACGTGGCACGGCGTGCCACCGATGTATCTCACACGGCCGAACACCTCTGGACTCTCAACTAAATAATTTTAATTTACCCGGTAAGTCCCCACTGAGCAATGCATCTCTTTTCCAGAAGCGACCTGGCCATCACAAATGGCAGCCCAACAAAGTGACATACCATCATGTGAAAATTTATAGCAGCCAAATGCTATCAACGCGTTATTTCGATATATGCAGGGAAAACCGGAGGGCCCGGAGAAGAATCCACACGACCACGTGGAGAGAGAAAGACACGCAAACTCCAAATATACAGCAGGCGTCAGGGTCAGGATCGAACCCACAACCTCATGTATATCAGGCAAGGTAGTTCACATCTCCGAGCCACTGCGACTCACCCGTGGTCGCACGCGCAGTGCGAGATGGTGTGCCAACGGAGGTTGCGGTGTCCGTATTTGTATCGGAACGCGTCGATCACGTGCTCGCAGTGGTCATGGTCGCGGCAGCAGCGATCCGTCTCCTCGAACTCGCCTGTGGGTGCACCGGAGAAGACAAAAGGTCCCCCATGTAGCCTTCAAAGGGACTCCCGGGTCAAGTACTGTTAGTTCGCAAGCAGCACCAGCAGTAACGCCTGTGAAGGGCTCGGCATAGTGGCACACCCCTGGGTGGTGGAGCAAAATCACCACAACCACCACGCCAGCTCGGCCGCCTTTGTCTCCTCCCCAGTACCGATGTCTACTATGCACCGCACCAGGTATACTCATTTAAGGCTGAGTCGACCTAAGTCTAGGCCCCTAGGATCGGTTCCAATGTTCCTCGCTGGTTAACGGGCGCCGCGGTGGTGAGACGTTATCTATCTCGTCTGGCATGCAGGAGGTCATGGGTTCGGCCCCGACCCTGCCATATATTTGGGGTCTGCGTGTTCTCTCCCTCCCCGTGGTCGCTTTGATTATTTCTCCACATTTCGAATCAACATGCACTTCAGAGTATTTGGCTAATGCTAGACATTTCCACATGATATGCCACTTCGTTGAGCGATCGTTTGTGGCCAGGTCGCTCCTGAAAAAGTGTTATAGCTCAGTGGGGCCTTACTTGGAAAAATAAATTAATGTAATCGTTTATTAGTTTAGTTTATTGTTCGTGAGTGGGAGTCCCATTTAGAGGTCTCTTGACCCCCCTCCGCCCCCTCTCCAACCCCCCCCCCCCATTACCTCCGTTACCCCTTCCATCATCTCGCACGTGCCAATTCGAACCTCTCAGCCAATTTTGTGGCCTCGAAGTCCCCAGACGACCAGAGAGAGCCAGTGGGAGGCTTCCTGCGGTGGCTCCTTAAGGACTGCTTCGTGCCGTTAAGTCTTAAGGATCATCACCATCTCGTATTTACATTGCATTATGCGGCTCTTGAAATATTGAGTTTGTTACTGAATGCCCGACCCTGATTCTGACTTAATCTCCACACGTGGCCAACTAAGTATTTTCTCAACTGTGTCACGAGATCTTTAAAGTCCACATGATTACAGCCGCAGTCTGTTCCATCAGCCATCGTCGGTTAAAAGACAAAGATCCCCCTAAAGCCTTCAATAGACTGTTGGCGCAAGCGCTGTTCATACGCAGCACCTATGAAGGCCGACACGTGGGGGCGAGTGGCCAGCACCACGCCTGGCCTTTTTTGGCTCCCTAATGGCGATGTTTCCACAATCGCACCAAGTACTCCTTTGAGGCTGAGTCGACCTAGGGGAGGCTCAGATCTGGGTTAGAAAATCGTCACTGTTGTTGGCTGTATGCGGGAATTGAACTCTGGTCGCCAGGTCCGTAATGCAAACCGCTACACTGCCGCTCCCCACAATAAAAACGCACATATCACAAATTCTGAGCGTTTATGATTGGACTGTGGCGGGGATGTTGCAAAATTGTAGTAGAAAATCTAAAGGAATGGCACTTATATATTATGAACCTAGGCAACTGCCTTGTATGTTGCTTATCTAGGGTAGGATATATAACATGAAGTGGGAGTATTGTTAATCCGTGTTAGGAAGTCTAAGTGCATTCTCGCAATTCCATTCTCACCATTACTTGTTAATCACTGAGGCTCACAGAGCAAGGCTAGGGCTCTTATAGTGTTCAGTGCTAATCACTGAGGCTGAAAAAGCCAAACTAAGGCTACCATAGAGTTCAGTGTGAATTATTTAGTGTCACAGAGTCAGATGAATACTCTCTTATTGTTCAGTGTAAATTCATCCCCAAGAGTAAATTATGCCGTGAAAAAGCATCCTATTTATTTTACTTAATAATGGCCCCTAAGTTCATAAATGCTTTTGAAAAGTAGCGGTGAAAACTACGTGCTTCTAAAGAGTGGCAACGATTCCTATTGTAAAGGACGCCGAGAGTGTAAACTCTCTTATTAATTAAGTAAATGCATGCTCACTTGGTTTCAAGGTTGTGTGAGTTCAAATAGCGTTCTCAACTTTAATTTGGCGAGGAGCTACACGGGGAGGAGTAGACATAGGGTGCTCAATCTGATTGGAAGGTGGAGAACCTTTAAAATCTGATACAATTTTCTGAGTGTGGTCGATCTGAAGACCAGTCTCCCATAATACTTACAAATAATTTTGCATATTTGCTTTGTTTGCATCATTTTGACGGCATCATTGCTATTATCAAGGCGCTATGCTTCACAGGTGGCTATTGTATTTAGTATTCCAGTGTGGGGGAGGGGGCGATATCACTATATTTTTATACCCATTGAATTAATTTCGCGAGTAATTTTCCAATTGTGCTAAATGTTGGCCCCGTGGTTTTTGGCGCACGTGGCCTCCTGTGTTTTTTTTGGCGAATTGCTCCACGGGATCTCTCATGTCCATTGTGAAGTAAACACCTCCAACTCACCCAGGTGATCGAAGTTGTCTGCGCTGTTCCCGGCCCCGCACCACAGTGTGCCGGGGTATGTGAAGCCTCTCCTCACTCGACGCTTTGCCCCAGCGACGATCGCCGTCGATGCCCCAACTTTCTCCTCCGTTTCCACCTCTCCATCCTCACCTTCCCCGATGGCCACGTATCCTCCAGTCGATGCTGCCTCTTGTGACGATGCATGCTCCAATCCTTCCTTGCTCAGCCTGTGGTCTTTCCCCGAGGTTGCTTCTATGGAGCTCTCTGCGATGACCGATTTGCTCAGCGGCAGCGGAATCCATTTGCTCAGCAGCAATCTGTCGACACGAGTCTGGTCTGACTCATTCGTTCTCTCCCAAGGTACGTCGGTGACTTGCCGCTCGACCAAAGTCCACAACCGATTGGTGATGGAGCTGTCGGGTGATTTTCGTTTCGACGACCTTCCGGTGAGGACTGCCGGTGGCATCTTCTCACTGGTGCTCTCGCCCGAGCCACTGTGGGACATCTGCTGTGCGTATCTGGAGCCCCTGGCGTTGTGGTTCAACAGCGCCGCCCTGCACGCCGTTCTCAGGCTGCCAAAGGCTTCGCTCTCGGACATGACGCTCAACGCTGCGTGGACGAGTGCCCCAGCCCCTAGACGCAGGGCCCAGGCTCCAAAGTCCAATGCATCTGCACCCAGCTCAAAGACTTCGGCTCCGAGGTCCAACGACTCTGTTCCGAAATCAAATGATCTGGCTCTATAATCTGACGGCTCTGTTCCAGACTCGAATGCCTGCTTCTGGAAATTGGACTCTGGTCCGAAATTTGATTCGGTGCCAAAGTGGAATTCTTTTGAGTCAAAGTCAGACTTCTCTATCCCTAAATTAGATAGTTTTGATGCAAACTTGAAAGCTTCCATTCGATGATTCAGCTGCTCTGTTGAAAAGCCTGAATTCACGACCAATTTGACTGCCTTTCTGTCACCGCCGGAACTGTCCATTCCAAGATCCAATGACCCTAATCCAAGCACTAACAAGTTTTTAAAAAAAGCTGAGTTTTCCTTTCCAATGCCCGATTCCATGCCAAAACGAAATACTTTTGCACAAAACCTGTACGTTTCGCTTTCGATGCCCGAAAATTCTGTGCCCAGCGCAAACGCTCCCAACGTTAAGTCTGAGACCACCTTTCCAAGCCGCGATATTTTCCGCTCGACTTCTGACACTCTCTTAGCCAGCTCCGACGCCCCTGCGCCAACCTCGACCGCCCTTGGCCAGTAGCGAGACGACTTCCCAACTGCCACGAGTTTATCCCCCCGCCTCCTCTCTCTCATGTGCTCGCCGCCATTTAAACTTTTCCCACCAGATTCTACTTCCTCCCTCTGGCCACGTGGCGCCTGGTTACATGACACTTGGTCGGATGTGTTCCCGCCCACATTGCCGCCACCTCCCAGGACTACGCCAGGGTCATGGTTGGACACAGGGTTGTGTGAGGGTTCGCTCCCGATACAGAGGCACAAGCAGAGCGTGGTGAATGCGAGTGTTAGCCGCATGGCCACTCTCCTGTGCAGTAGTTTTGTGCGTCACTCTCTGTGCCCGTCTATACTCTCACTATGTATGGCCAGTATAATCTTTATTTGTGTGCCTATTCTCTGTGTATATATGCAGTTTTCAATGTATATGTATATCGATAATAGTTCCCTTGGTTATCAATATATTTTGTGTGGGAGGGTGTCAGTGTGTGTGCGAGAATGCGTAAGAGTGAGTGTGTGAGAGAGTGAGTGTGTGGGAGCGTGTGTTTTTGAGCGTGTGTGAGAGAGCGTGTGATGCTTTGAGAGTGTGAGTGGTGAGAGAGTGTGTGAACGAGTGTGTGTGGGTGAGTGTTTGACAGAGTGCATGTGAGAGAGACTGTGTGATTGCGTGTGAGTGGGTAATAGAGTGCGTGTGAACGAGAGAGTGTGTATTGATAGGTGTGAACGAGTGTGAGAGATAATGTGTGTGTGAGGATATTAGACTGAGCCTGGGAGAGAGTGTTAGACTGGGAGAGAGCGTTAGACTGGGAGAGAGTGTTAGAATGAGAGAGATTATGAGCCTGGGAGAGAGCGTTAGACTGGGAGAGAGTGTTTCACTGACTGAGTGATCCTACCTGTGCGTGTAGAGCCCTAACCCTAACCCTCCACCCGTGTGCCTGGGCAGTCGATGCCTCTACGCGAGTCCGTGTCACCCACGTGTTGTGAGTCCCTGTAGCCCCACGCGTTGTGAGGAGTCCGTCTCACTAGCTGGTCAATATGATGTATCCACTCCCTCTGTGTGTGTGAGATGAGGCTGGAGCCAAGGGGACCGGCCACGTCGCTGGTGATGGAGACTACGAATGCGCCAAAGCGATCCGCGCTCCTATTTATGGGCGAGCGAGGCTGGGTGTTTATGTGTGTGTGCGTCTGTGTGCGTCATTTTGGTGTCTGTCTGTGTGTACGCGTGCCCGTCTTTGTGTGTGTGTGCGTGCGCCGTAGGGTAGTGGTTAGTGCACTGTGCTACGAACCCGGCGACCCGAGTTCAATTCCCGCTCACGACCACCACCAGTGACGATTATCTGAACCGGTCCTGGGCCTCCCCTAGGTCGACTCAGCCTCAAATGAGTACTTGGTGCAGTGTGTAAACATCACTATTGCGAGACAAAGGCGGATGGGCGTGGTGCTGATCACCCACTTTTTCGTATGCCACAGTGCCGGTCTTGTGTGAGCTCGCTAACAAAACTTGCCCCAGCAGCCTGTTGAAGGCTCTATGGGGGATCTTTGTCTCTTGTGTTTTTGAATAGCAACGCAGCCCCTTTAAAGTGATAACAAATTCATAATGAAGTCCTTCCATTTGTTACGAAACATTCACCAAGCCCCCCACCAGCCCCCCTCCTCTCAAATCCCCCTCTCACCCCGCTTCCTCCATCCCCCCGACAATGAATGAGCGAGACGCAATCAGAGGGGAGGTGCACGGGTGACCCAGAGGGCTTCATAATGGCCGTGTCAGAGACACTCACCCGTCACGGTGGATACCCTGGGTTCGAGCCCTGGGTCTGGGTCTCTCGCTTTATCTTCGTCGAGGTGGTTGCTATACTGTATTCCACCTCTGAGGAGCAATCATGAGGGTGGCTGAGAAAGTGGGGTTGATGCCGGGTCCGTGAGAGTGTTCATGAGTGGGTCAGTGAGTGTGTGAGAGTGTGCCAGTGTGAGTGAGAGTGTGAGTGAGTGTGAGTTTCTCAGTGTGTGTTTCAGTGTGTGTGAGGGAGCGTGAGAGTGTGAGTGAATGTGAGAGTGTGAGCGAGTCAGAGTGTGTGTGTCAGTGTGAGTGAGTGAGAGTGTGAGTGAATGTGAGAGTGTGTGTGTGGAGTCTGTATATTGTCTCCCTGCGTGAGTGCCTGGGTGAGTGTGTGAGTGAGTGAGACAGTGTGTGTCAGTGTGAGTGAGTGTGTGAGTGAGTGTGAGTGAATGTAGAGTGTGAGTGAGAGTGTGTGTGTGTGGAGTCTGTATGTTGTCTCCCTGCGTGAGTGTGTGAGTGAGTGAGAGTGTGTGTGTCAGTGTGAGTGAGCGTGTGAGTGAGAGTGTGTGTGTGGAGTTTGTATGTTGTCTCCCTGCGTGTGTGAGTGAGAGTGAGTGAGAGTGTGTGTGTCAGTGTGAGTGAGCGTGTGAGTGAGAGTGTGAGTGAATGTAGAGTGTGAGTGAGTGAGAGTGAGTGAGAGTGTGTGTGTGTGGAGTCTGTATGTTGTCTCCCTGCGTGAGTGTGTGAGTGAGAGTGAGTGAGAGTGTGTGTGTCAGTGTGAGTGAGAGTGTGAGTGAGTGAGAGTGTGTGTGTGTGGAGTCTGTATGTTGTCTCCCTGCGTGAGTGTGTGAGTGAGAGTGAGTGACAGTGTGTGTGTCAGTGTGAGTGAGAGTGTGTGTGTGTGGAGTCTATATGTTCTTTCTCCGTTCTGTTGAGTGTTGGAATACCCACACTTCACCCCACTACACCAGACCTGCCAAGCGGGGCAGGAGGACGTGGGGAGGAGGGAAGGGAGGAGGAGGGAAGGGTGACGAGGAAGGGTGGAGGAGGGGGCGCTGTGGGGGGAGGTGGCCAGAGCTGAATGCAAGAAACGCGCACAGCTAATGTAAGTGCCGCGCCTGGAGGTCGAGGTGCCCCTGCTGTGACCGTGACGCCGCGACCGGGAGCATCACCGCCATGTCCTGCCGCTGCTGTTTGTGGATCCCTCCCTCTCAAGGCCGGGGCGCGACCTTGCGCTCCCATCAGCGATATGAAGGGATGCGGAGGATGATGATGTTGGCAGCGTGGTTACATTCCTGTCACGGTGGTCGCTTCGTCGAGCCAATTTGTCGTGATAACTTGTTCTTGGTGTTGCTGTTTGTGCTGCTTTTTTGTTATGGGTGCATTTTCTTAATTTGTTTATTATTATTTTAGTGGTTTTTGCTTGGTAGTAGTTGTCGGTATGTCTATCTGTGAAAAAGAGTTTCATAGCTCATCTGATTGCTCTAGTATCAATACAGATTATACGTGTTTTCGTAGCCTATTGCGTATATGGCAATTGGCCCTTGTATTTATTTATTTAATGTCGAGCGTTGCAGGATGCTGTTGACATGAATGATACTGCTATATGAAGTTAAACTATTATTATTGCTATCATTTGTGATTTCCAGGTCGCTTCTGAAAAACGAGCGAATAGCTCAGTGGGATTCGCCTGGTAAGATATTAAAAAAAATAGTTTGTAGTTTAATTTGTTTATTTTGCTGAAGTGATTTTCTTACTTTCCGATTTAAAGCTTTCGTGACTGCAAGGATTAATCTTCTTTGGTTCTTTCGGTAAGGTCACGTAGAATGATAATAAAATAATAAAATAACAATAAAATTCTCACGACGTTTCGGCCACAACGCAAGCGGCCGTCTTCAGGTGAAAGGTACAGACCTGTCGGGACGACAGAGCTTCAATGAACGAAGATTCGTAGCGACTTTTAAGCTGGTTGGGAGAAGTGAGGCACCTTGACAAAGGGGTTTACATATCAAATAGCTGAGGGATTAGTTTGTGACTGGTCACAGGAATAGCTATGTTAAAGTCAAAACCTACACATCCACAGAGGCAACTAGTAATTTAGCATTGAAATAGCTAAGGGATTAGCTTGTGCAAATAGCTGAGGGCTTAGCTTGATTTTCTTACCTTTCTTACCTTTCCTATGCTTTGCACTCTAACGTATTTGCGTGTATTGTGTTGTTGTAACGTACTAACCTCGTGCCCCTTACTGGACGTTTGTGAAAAAGTGCTTCATTACTCATCGGATTCCTCCAGGATGAATACAGATTCTGACTCTGAACTAAGTAACCATCCAGCCAGGCAGCACGGTCACTGAGTGAGAGAGAGAGAGAGGGAAGGGGTAAGGAGAGCAGAGCGTGACATCTATTGTGAAATATTTCATTTAAAAAGGGGGGGGGGTGGCGGTTTACATAAAGCAAAGCATTAAAAAAAACCGAAATGATGAACGAAGCAAAGTGCCTACTACACCGAGCATCTTCTTCTTTCCTCTGATCGTAATCAAAGAGAGAGAGAATGTATGAGTTGGCGGATAAGTGGGTGGGCTTTGCAAAGTGTAACGCTCACTGCGAGGTGATCCCAGTGCTGTGTGGTGGCCGGGCTCATCAGTGCACATGCTGTGTAGCCCTCAGATGAAACATGTGACAGGTGACCTTTTGGGCAATAGCCCTTTCGAATAGAACGTGAATAGAGAAGAAGGGGTGATTGCGCCATAAACGTGACCTGTGGGTGGGTGAGTGTGGGTGGTTGGGTGAGTGTGAGTGGGTGGGTGAGTGTGAGTAGTTGGGTGGGTGAGTGGGTGGGTGAGTGTGAGTGGGCAGGTGGGTTGGTGGATGACAGTGGGCGAGTGGGTGTGGGTGAGTGGGTAGGTGAGTGTGAGTGGGTAGGTGAGTGGGTGAGTGGGTGGGTGTGAGTGGGTGGGTGGTTGAGTGTGAGTGGGTGGGTGTGAGTGGGTGGGTGGATGAGTGTGAGTGGGCGGATGAGTGTGAGTGGGTGGGTGTGAGTGGGTGGGTAATTGAGTGTGAGTGGGTGGGTGAGTGTGAGTGGGTGGGTGAGTGTGAGTGGGTAGGTGGGTGGGTGAGTGTGAGTGGATGGGTGAGTGAGAGTGGGTGGGTGGGTGAGTGTGAGTGGGTGGGTGAGTGAGAGTGGGTGGGTGATTTTGAGTGGGTGGGTGTTAGTGGGTGGGTGGATGAGTGTGAGTGGGTGGGTGAGTGTGAGTGGGTGGGTGAGTGAGAGTGGGTGGGTGAGTGTGAGTGGGTAGGTGTTAGAGGGTGGGTGGGTGATTTTGAGTGGGTGGGTGTTAGTGGGTGGGTGGATGAGTGTGAGTGGGTGGGTGAGTGTGAGTGGATGGGTGAGTGAGAGTGGGTGGGTGAGTGTGAGTGGGTAGGTGTTAGAGGGTGGGTGGATGAGTGTGAGTGGGTGGGTGAGTGAGAGTGGGTGGGCGTGCGGATGAGTGTGAGTGGGTGGGTGGGTGTGAGTGGGTGGGTGGGTTGGTGAGAGTGGGCGAGTGGGTTTGGGTGAGTGGGTGGGTGAGTGTGAGTGGGTGGGTGAGTGTGAGTCGGTGGGTGAGTGTGAGTGGGTGGGTGAGTGTGAGTGGGTGGGTGAGTGTGAGTGGGTGGGTGTGAGTGGGTGGATGAGTGTGAGTGAGAGTGGGTGAGTGTCGGTGAGTGGGTTGGGTGAGAGTGGGTGATTGTGGGTGAATGATTGTGAGTGTGTGGGTGAGTGTGAGTGAGCAGGTGGGTGAGTAAGAGTGGTTGAGTGTGAGTGGGTGGATGAGTGAGAGTGAGCGAGTGGGTGTGGGTGAGTGAGAGTTGGCGAGTGGGTGAGTGTGGGTGAGTGGGTGGGTCAGTGGGTGAGTGTGTGTGGGCGCGTGTGAGAGGGTGGGTGAGTGAGGGTGGGCGAGTGGGTGGGTGAGTAAGAGTGGGCGAGTGGGTGGGTGAGTGAGTATGAGTGGGTAGGTGAGTGTGAGTGCGTACTTGGGTGAGTGAGGGTGGGTCAGTGAGTGAGTGTGAGTGGGCGGGTGTGAGTGGGTGGGTGAGTGTGAGTGGGTGGGTGAGAGTGGGCGGGTGGGTGGGTGAGTGAGAGTGGGCGAGTAGGTGAGTGGGTGGGTGAGTGAGTGTGAGTGGGTGGGTGAGTGTGAGTGAGTAGGTGGGTGAGTGAGTGAGAGTGGGCGAGTGGGTGAGTGAGTTGATGAGTGAGTATGCGTGGGTAGGTGAGTGTGGGTGAGTATGTGGGTGAGTGAGAGTGGGTCAGTGAGTGAGTATGAGTGGGCGGGTGTGAGTGGATGGGTGAGTGTAAGTGGGTGGGTGAGAGTGGGCGGATAGGTGGGTGAGTGAGAGTGGGCGAGTAAGTCAGTGGGTGGGTGGTTGAGTGAGTGTGAGTGAGTAGGTGGGTAGGTAAGAGTGAGTGAGT